CAGAGGAAGGGGGAATTTGGCTCCATTCCCTGTGACACCCCTTCTTTCCAAAGCCAGGCAGCAAGATTCGAGGAGAAGGCACTGAGTCAGTGCAGTCTAGTGGTTTGAGCACTGGACTAGGACTCTAGAGACCAGGGTTTGATTCCCAGTTTGGCCATGAAACCCACTGGGTGACCTTGGGCAAGTCACACTCTCTCAGCCTCAGGGGACGGCAATGACAAGCCTCCTCTGAACAAATCTTACAAAGAAAACTCGATGATAGGTTTGGCTTAGGGTTGCCATAAGTGGGACATGACTTGAAGGCACACAACAACAACAACAACAACAGCAAAGGCATTCAACTCACTGGTAAGTCCCAGAAACGAACTGGGCAACTCCAGAGCCTCACAGACAGGAAAATTTCATTTACTAAAAGCTCAACTTAAAAGCAGACATTCTTTTTTAAAAACAAAAATGCTGAGTGCACATTGAAGGGGAAATGAGGTCCAGGCTTTGAAACATTCAGAGTCAGCAAAAATGTGGGCTTTTATTGGCAGCCTGTGAAAGACGAAAGTGATTTATTTAGCAGCTCTTGAGTGTGGGGGAATTAATTGACTTCCAGTCTTTTCATTAGCAGATGGATGCATTGGCCTATTCAGCGCAGAGAAGGCACCGCCTGATAGCAAAAGCGCTCGGGAGCCCCATCTTGGCTGAGATCGAACCCGGGGCTCCGCGGCATTAAGAGGCTTTGGGGTCCTGCCAAGCCTCGCTCCTCCTTTCTTTCTTTCCTTCCTTCCTTCCTTCCAATAATCCCAGCCTTGCTTCAGCTCCATCACCAAGGACAGAATGGGTTGTTCATTTAGGGAAGGAAGAAAAGGCTGGTTGGAAGAGGGATGGAGGAGAGATTTGGGATTATGACACCAGAGGAGGCAGATGGAGGCCTGGGATACCAATGCCACAAAGCAGCCTGTTTTCTCCTGGGCACCTGTGAAGGGATTGTGGCTGGTTGCCAGAGCCCTTTGACCCACCCAAATTCTGCCCCAGAATCCCCCTGACACAGTCCTCAAAGTAAAAGGTGCACAGGCTCACTTTGGGAAGCCCTCCAGCTCATGCCTCTAATGCAGTCATCCCCAAACTTTGGCTCTCCAGGTGTTTTGGACTTCGACCGTTGCACAAGCTGGCTGTGGCTTCTGGAAGTTGAAGTCCAAAGCACCTGGAGGACCAGCATTTGGTAACCACTGCCCTAATGTCTCTTGCAAAGTCAGGAGAAGAGGGGTCCTGGATGCCAAGGACCCTGAGTGATGGTCAAGAAAGAGGGAGGCAGCAGTGGACAGGGCCTGAATGCGAGGAGAGGCCTTGGCACTCATGTGGGGGGGGG